CGCTCTTTCAATTAAATGTATCCATTTTTGGCGAATTTTTGTTCAAAGAGCCGCATAAGAGTCACTCACTCGTCCCGGGTCGAACATTTTCAAGAATTTGTTCCTGAAAGTTGGAAACAACTAGAAAATTGTTTGTCCCCGCACTGGAAAGATGCTTATGCCTTCAATCGATAGAGCGTATTTTCCCCTATAAATGCCGAACATCCCACTTCAATGCCACTTTTAGTTAATGTTTGGCGAATTTTTATAGATAGAGTTGCACATGTGGATTTGAGTGTGATTTGAGTGGCCAAAACAGGACAACCGTTGTTGTTTGAAATTGGTCATGATCAGTTTGAATTTGTAATGATCAATTAGAAATTGATCATTACGTGCAACCTATTTCAATAATCAATTTCGCAAATTTGGGTAGTGTTAGGAAGATGCTTGTGGCTCTAGTGGATAGAGCGCATCTTGCTCTTTGCACGCCGTAAGTTTCATTTAATTTTTCGCGAATTTCTGATTGCACATGTAACTGTTGATAATGTGCAACCTGAATTCAATATTTTTTTCCGAAGTTCAGGACTAGCTAGCACGAGCTCTTGGAATCCGTTTTTTTCGCTAAATCTCAACCCTTAGGGAAATGAGTTTACTGCTTTCATATTTTCGCGCAATTTACGGCTCGTTGTTTCGCAGGAAGAGCACAAATCCTGCCCTGCAGCAAATTGCCGTTAAAAAGCTTTTTCGGTTTATTCTTACCTTATCGCGATTATTTTTCATTGCCCTTAGAGTGGCGGCACCGGTTTCTTTGGTCGCGTCCCCCAATGAGTTGCCTAAGAAAAGAACATTTTCATTTGCGCTCTTTTAACAGGAAGTCGCCGTGTTGTTGTTGCAGGAGTTTCGCACCTAATGGCTCGAATAGCTTGAGCCAATTTGGGCCCCGTTGAGGGCAGTAATTGATTTTGCTTCATTTAGTCAGGGGGTTTGAATTAATCCAACTTTGGGGGTGGCAACAATGGCATCAGAAGCTCGGTTATCTAGCTCTGGTATACTGCAAAACAGTGAGCTGAATGGGCATGAGGCAAAATCGAAAACCAACTCAAAGCCTGATTTTTCATATCAAACAAAGACAAGCAAGTGCCTTCATATGCCTGGTTCACTCCGTTAATTAACCTGTTGTTTACTGTCCAATTTGGACGATGGCCCTGCATGTGTGTCCCGAGCGGTGGACGGATCTGTTTGCCTTGTTCGGCACAAATTCAATGAGTTTGAGGATCGATTTATCGGTGCCGGCCATTAAAGCAGCCCTCAACACTATCGGGCGACAATTTTATCATCATTCGGCCACAAGAAGACGATTATTTCACCGCTCTTGCCAAGTATTAATTGAGACTTCTTAGGGGCATTTCAGCAAGAAGTTTCACCTTAATGACTGCGGCTTGTTCCCGATATAATTAATAGAAGGTGGTTAACAGCGGCAGCTTCTTGAGCACGCAGCTTCGCTTATCGGATGATTTATGGGCGACGGTCAGGTGTTAAGCACTGTTTCGGGCTTATGCTAATGAGTGCCGAGATTTATCTGCAGCCTTTTTGGAGCATGTTTTCATTGGGCACCACTTGGTCCCCACATAATTCATCAAAACCGATCGCAAGGATTTATCTTCTTCGACGGCGCGACATCCTGAGTGACACATTTCCGATCAATAAGTGTGCAGGCCTTTTGTGCCCTTTGTGCTCCCCACGAAAATTCCCCAATCCAATGGGAACGGGAGAGCGGCCCCAAGCACCCTTTGACATCGGATACTTTTAAGCTGGCCAAGTGCTTGCGAACATCAAGCACAATCAGTCCCGGATCTGGCGTGTCAAAGGTGGAATGAAAAATCTGAGACTACTGCCACCGGTGGGAGTTTTTAGCCCTCGCAGGTTTCATTTTTCTGCTGCCACGTGCCAAATTAATGAGTTTCACCCGCTCAATAGACAAATTTTTCCCTGTGAAAAAAAACGCTTCGAAACTAACCCTCCAGGGAGTGCAACTCCATCTCCGGCATGCAAAGAGCCGGTGGAAGATGTCATGTAACTTTTTGAGAAGTTTTTATTTAAATGAGAAAAGTTTCCAGGGCGGCGCAGCGCAATTCCGGATTGAATCCTGCTGAATTCGCGACGAGCCTTAGACTAATATTAATGGGCTTAGGAAGTTTGCTCAAGTCGCCTTATCGTGACACAAAAAGGCATTGTTTCTGTCTTTTTCAATTAGTCTTGTGCAGGCGAGTCCCTCCAGTTCTACCGGGTGTTTGCACTCGATGCATGTAAAAAGACCCTCGTTATCCTGCTCCCAATCTTAGGGTCGGCCGATGCCCGGACAATAATTACGAGTTAATTGAATATGCGCTCTGAACAGAGCCTTGATTGAGTTATGGTAATTCCGCACTGCATATTGGCATATTAATTCGGTAGAGTTGACTGGGCGGAAGAACATGGAAAACAGTCGCTGAAACAACACAGGGCTTCTGGTAGAGACCAGCCATGCATATTTGCAACACAAACAAACCCAACTTATGCTCGGTGCAAGGAAAACATGTGAAAATCTGCAGGGTGGACGGTTCTTGTTCAAATATGTTCCCACTTTTCTGTCTGTAGATCCTGCTTTTAAGGAATTTGTGGCATTGTAAAGAACTACCTGCAGTGCTTCTTCCATTGAATTAAATAAAAGTGAAAATTCGGCAAGAATTTAACGTGGTTAAAGTGGTTAAAGTGGTTGAATCTGAACGTTTTAGTTTGGGGATAAAACCCCGTGTGTTTTTTACGTTTCTCAGAGTTATTGGCCTGTAACTCAGTGATTTGAATGCGCATTCCTGGGATGCCTTTTGAAGATAATTATCTTCGGTTTCTTCCACGGTTTGGAGGTTTAAAATCGCTCTCGAAATAAGCCCGTTATGAGTTAAGAGGTGTCTTGCATGTCAGATTGAAAGGTTTATGGAACTGATTTGGTCGTAGTTCAGGAATTTGGACAAATTTCCATATTCGAGCCATAGGTGTTGAAGAGAGAAGTCTTCTGGTTCTTTGCATTTTTTAAGATATAAAATTGATTAAGAAGCAAACTCGTTTTGTCCGAAAGAGTGCCAAGGATCTCAGATTCTGAAATTTCCTGGAGTTATTTGGCTGTAACTGTCTGTCTTTTTCGTAGTTAAAAATTTTTGTTATCTTTTCAAATAAACCCCGTTTGTTTTAAAGCGTGTTTTCGGCCGAGGATTCTAAAATTTTTCAATTTTTTCGTGTCTCTAGCTCAGTTATTTCAGGAATTTTTGATCAGAAAAACATGCTTTTGGGGGTGAAAAAACTTTCCTTTCCTTTCTTCTCCTATTTGGATATTTCGACTCTAGAGGCGAAGCGAAGCTCAGCTGGATAATCGAGCATCTGAAACAACTGAAGCCAATTCCCGCTGGTTGGATTAATTGCCATCCTGCCTAAAGGAGGCAAAATCAAGTATTACCTCAAATGCCATTCAAGCCATTCGGATAGAAATTCCTGCTAAAAGTGCGCAAATGAAAATGTCCCTTTCTTCAGCAACTCTTTGGGGGATGCGGCCGCTCTAAGGGCAATGAAAAATAATCGCGATAAGGTAAGAATAAACCGAAAAAGCTTTTTAGCGACAATTTGCTGCAGGGCAGGATTTGTGCTGGTTTCGCAAAATAACGAGCCGTAAATTGCAGGAAAATATAAAAGCCGTAAACTCATTTCCCTGAGGCTGAGATTTGAGGAAAAAAGGGGAGAATCGGTTGGGAACAGTTTCTTCGGCTTATTGAAAAAGCTGCTACTTGAAACATTGTTAGCTGAGGAAATGGAGGCGATTAATTTGAGGATTAATGTGTTCCCAATTCGCAACAAGAAACCGTTTAATGCCCTCAAAGAGAGCTCATTTAGCGGCTCTGGTTTGCATTTAGTGCCCCCGCTCCGCTCTTTATTTGTCTTTCGAAACCGGCAATTTCGGATGGAAGCGCCAAAATAATCTCCAGTTAACCTAATTAAAGGCATTCGACGAAATTTAAGTGTAAGTTTTAATCTGCTTACCTCTCGTTTAACTGCCGTTTGTATATTTACTTGAAGGCAACCCCGGTTACCGGATTATCTTGCATTTCCCGAAAGGATCCGGAAAACTCTCTTTGCCTGGTTGCTTTGGCGAGAGAGTTTGTTCCCAAATAGGAGGCTGATTCGATTAGGCGAGGAATTCGAGCGCAAGATAAACAACCAACACGTGGCCGCTCTGAAAGTTCTTTGCCGTTAATCCAGCTGCGCGCATATAAAAGATCTGGATGGACACTTGGATGGTGAACGTTTAGCAAAAGTTACTCTTCTCGGTGCCTCAGCCACGCACTTAAAATAGACGCGAAAACAATAAAAATCCCAGTCAGAATAGAACCTATCCAGAAAGTGAGACATGGACATGGATATGGACAAAGCGGATAGTAAATTGCATCGGACAGATCGAAAGCGGGTGACTTTATTAAAGCGCGAACTTTCCATATCGCTGGCCGTTACTTTGCAGCGACCGGCTTTATTGCTTATCCATAAATCTGGAAAGCAAGCACTCGGCTGTCCGGGCGATATTACGACCTGAAGTTACGACCAATCAAATTTGCCTTTTTCGCATGAAACATCGCTCTACATCCCGGTTTATTCCAGCCAAACCTGAAGTTGCGTTCTTCCCTATTTGCCGACAGTGGCCGCCAGCTTTAACTCGCAGGAAGTTGCGGAAAAACGGGAAACTTTCCCATTTTTTCCAATATCCATAACAGCCGATATCCAGGGCCAATTTATATGGAAATGGGCTGGGCCCGAAATAATAAAAGAGTTCTTCAGCACGTGGATGGTCCCCAAAGGCCCTTAAATAATACAATAACTTGTCTCTATTGCTGCTGCTGCTGCGGAACGTCAGCCTTAATTGCAGCAGGAAATTCCTGCCAGTCTCTTTGCGTTTAATGAGGGGATGTTTTGTTGAATGGGTGTTTTTCGATTGTTTGCAGGAGAGAAGCCATTCCCTTGCGAATGGAGCGGCTGCAGGAAAAAGTTCGCACGATCCGACGAGTTGGCGAGACACACGCGCACGCATACCGGCGAGAAGAACTTCTCCTGCCCCGTTTGCAATAAAAAGTTTATGAGGAGCGACCATTTGACGTAAGTAGTCTTTTATTAAAAGGGTGGTTTGAGGCCGCAGCCAACACACGCAAAAAAACAACCACCGACAAAACGGCCCGTCGACGCGCTTTATTATTAAACGCTAAACAAGCGCCTCTCATTTGTTTGGCTGGATTAACGGTGCTGTTTGTGTTTTCCGCATTTTTAGTTGAAAGTTCGATTTTTTAGCCGTCCAGCTCAATTGTTGTGGCACTTAAATTCTCTGTCATCCTGCTGAACGCAAAATTTCATTGCAATTTTCTTTTCCCTTGCTATTTAAAAAATTATGTCTTCCAATCTAAACCCTATAAGCATTTGACATTTTCGGCGTCTTAAGCAGCTGAAGGGTCTAAAAATGATGAAAGTTTTATAGAAATCGCCAAAAATCCTAGTTTTTGGCAGCTGGGTAAATGTGGGTCTAATAATGAAGGTTGTTACTCAGCTGCAATCTACTTTTAATAATTCATATCTTCCCCAATAACGCATATAGAAACTTGACATTTTTCCCATCTTTAGCGCACACCTGGCTCGCTTGATGGAGAAACTTCCATTAAAATGGCCCCGGTTCTTTATTTTTACCAGCTTACCAAATGTGGGACTCAAAATTGACGTTCCTGCTAAACTGCGTTCTGGAATTTAGAAATTCTAAAACTCCGAACCCACCCAAAAAACACCTGGTGGCATAAATACGAAAAGTTTCACATAAATGGGCAGGAATCCTGAGTATTTCCAGCTAAGCAAATGTGGATCTCAATCGAGAAGTTTTTACACAACTTCGGTCTCGTTTTTTTAAATTAAAATGTTCCAAATCCAGAAAGGTAACTTCTAGAAATTTACCGCATCGTCCTAACATACTTACCTGAAAGCATGTCGAGAGTTTCGCAAAAATCGCCCATACTCTTGAGTTTGGCGAGTTTAGCAAGTATGGGCTCAAAAATGATGTTCTAACAGAACAGCGACCTCCCCTTTTAAAAATTTTAAGCTTCCAAACTAAAGCAGGTACGGCAGTTTTGGCAGTTTAGTAACTGAGGTCCTCAAATTTGAATTTTTTAGTCAACTATTCTCTCCTTTAAAAATTTTCCTTTCCCACACAAACGCTAGTAGTACTTTTAAATTTTCAGCGTCTTTAGCCTACACTTGGCTCTAAAGATGCTGAAAATCTAATTTTATTTTCTCAAAGTCCTGATTTTTTGCCTACTTTATACCAACTTAATTGGCTATTGAGTTTGAATATTAGGCCATATTAGGCCTGATGCAATCAAACCAGGCCGAAAAGCGATAACTCGTTGATTTCCTTTGCGCATAAACTGCTGGCAACACTTGAGGTTCTAATCAGTTCAAAGCGAGCACTTTGCCGATTACATCTCAGGTAATTCAATAAGCCGACACGCCCCAATTGAGGCTCCAAAGAGGCGAGATCAAAGCGCAAATGTGTGCCAATTTTCTGTGCGTCTTCCCTTTGCCGCCATGCAGGAATTTCGACGGTCATTTTCCATTCCTTATCTCAATTATATGCAGGGCCCCGTTTTCTATTTACATGCAAATATAGATTTTTTTGAAAAATTTTGCTCAAACTGTTTTTATTGGAAGAACACGTGATATTTTTTAGATTCGCAAAAGTCGAACATGTTGATCAATTTTTTTAGCAATTAAAAATTAATTATTGGTTGTTTCTATTGTTGATTGAATTCTGATGGTTTTAGCAAACACGCCCGAAGACACCCGGACTTCGACGCTTCTGTGCTGAGGCAGCGTCGGGCCCCAAACAGGACTTTCTCAATCAATTCCAGCGATGGCACCCCATCCGAAGTGCTGTCCGACGCCATGCCGAGCCCTTAGATGAAACGGCCAAATATTCACGTACATGTTGTGTAAATAGGAAAATATATTGTATACTGCTTCTGTTACGTCGTCCGGCCTCTTATTACCTTCCATCCCCCAACATCTCCAAAGCATTCTCACATGTAGTTAAGAAAAAAAACGTTTCACCAGTCATCCAGACCAATTGCAACCGTTCAATGCTCCCCAGTCTGCCCAGTTTTAAACGGCAGTTTAAAAGACAACTTTCTCTGTTTCAAGTCCAAGACGCAGCATTCAAATCCTGCAGCTGATTTAAATGATATTAAATTGTGCCGCCCGCCAAATTGCGTGCAGATTGCCATTAGTTAATCCCCTAAATGTGTCTGTTCGCTCTCAGTTAGTTAACTTCACTGTTTTATGGTGTCTTTCCGCTATAATGGGGCATTTTCGTTTTGCGTTACACATTATGGGAATCCTGTTTCCGGCAAAGGTGCCATGTTCCTGATCTGCGCCAGCATTGCGGCCAAATATCGATGATGTCCAGGCTCTTTAATATCGAAATCGCAATTCAAGTGGTATATTTTGCTGATTTACTGCCGCCCGCGGCGATTGGTTTTCCTCTAAGTGATATGAAGTGAAAATCGATCCCAGTGGTTCTGTTTAGGGAAAACTGCGCTAAGGTAAGGTAAGGTAAGCAGCCAGAACTTTTGCTTGGGAAAATCCAATTTAACAGCGAAATTAAGTATCTTTGGAGCTGCCGCCGGTTATTTCATTGTTAATGCAATGAAGTAATCTCGTTTTCTCAGCCAGAAAGTTGGTTAGTTAATTAGTTAGTTAGTGGAAGGAATAGCGGAAAAACAGCGAGAAACGCGTCGAATTAATTTGCTTCATTACGTGAGCCCGATATTTGATTTTCGCTCTTCGGGCTTTCAGATTCAGTGCAAATTTTGGCCGTTTTGCATAGTCCGGATTCATTTTCCAATTTTCAACCGAAGCAACCCAGCCAATATCCCGCAAATGACCAGCAAGTCTTAAAATTTTCTTTTGAGTTTCTGGTCGTTTTGGCAAGGGTTGCTCAAAAATCACCATCCAAAACTGAAGTCGCGCAGCGACTAACTGTTTCCTCTGTTGGAGAGGAAAAACTTAATTCTCATTCTATTTCTCAAGAGAATTATCATTCTTTGTTTTTTGCAATAGTTTTTTAGTTTTTAGCATTTGAATTTGTGCATTAGTACTAGGATGTTTCGTGTTTGGGTGAAACCCACTGTTAGAAGCGCCTGTCCACTTTGGGGCGTCTCGACATTAATTTTTCAAAAAACGCCGGTCAATAATGTGATCAAATCGGGACCCATTAATTACTTTCTTGGAAAGAGGTAAGTGTGTTCTACGTCCCCAGCGATTGATATCTAAGTTGGTCAATTTTCCAATTTTTGGTCATAAGTTGAAAACAAGTAGTAAAACTTTCGTTTCGCTTATGGAAGTTCCGCCAAAATTTTTCAAAAAATGTTTTTTAAAAATCAGAATTCAGACTCACTTTGTTTCCCTCCGACGAACAAGAAACTTTGCACTTCTTTTCAGGGAACTCAGACTAAAATCGGTCCATTTCCCAATTTTTGAAAATTAGTTGAAAGCAAGACTGTCGTGTGAAAACAGGTTTCACAGCCAAATATGAACATCTCCAGTCTTCCCTTTATAACTCGTCAATTTTTTGCCTTTTCTTGAAAAGCCCACACTATATTCTGACTGACTCCCCAAATTGTAGGCCGATTTAAATAAATTAAAAACCACACTGAAGGAAAAAACGCTTTTGCATGAAAGACTCATTATTTCCAGCAATTATTTCTATTGGCAATCAATCAGCCGCAGAGCAAGTGCAAACATGGCATGTCCAGATGGAATTGAATCGGCAAAAATCGCCCATCGACCAGTGGCAATAAACAAAAGCAATTAATTAATGGAAAAAAGAAACGTCAGCAGCGCATCCAATCAGTCGCCCGATAAATAATGGAATGTTGTTGAAAATGGCGAAAAAAATTCAATTTTTATTTGGGCGATAACCGGTGGAATAGCGACTGGAAAATGGTTCGTGGAAGCGAATTTTCTTCAGATATTCTTATCACACTTGATAGAGTGTTAAAAGTTCCTCGGGCGCAGCGAAGTGGCTTTCAACTTCGCCGGAAGTCCGGTGCTTTAAGCGTCGATGATTCCGCTGTCAGGGGGAGTTCACCGACATGCTTTCCATGGAAGTTTTAATGGACCGTTCAGGCGACACGTGCTTATTATTTTAAAGGGCGATTTTCCGTTTTCAGCCCGCCGCGCTACATTTTGAGCCGCGGCAAAAATTGATTGGCAACTTGACAAAAACTCCCGGAGTACTCAGCGCAAAGCCCCTTTGATCCCCTAATCCCAATCTTCTCGTAGTTTTTAAATCTGCTCTATGGCAAATTTAATACCCTATTAGTGTTTACTAGGGATTAGACGTGCAGATCCTGCTGCGAATCCATATAACCCGGGATTTTATTACCCCCACAAAGTTCCATGTTAAGCCAGTGAAAGTTGGAGGCAACGGGACGCTTTATAAAAATTTCAGCAGGAAAGCTGCATGTGTGAAGTATAGCTGGCGGCAGAAAAATACTGGGAAAATCGCCTCTTTTTACTACGACACATTTGGATTGTGTTCCGCCACAGTCATGCGATGGGGATTTTTCGTTGTTTGGTACGCAAATTTTCTTGCGAATATGCACGATGGCTTAGGGGTAGCTTTTAGCTTAGAGCGTGCCGATGTTTTATCAGGTTTGTCCATTTGAGAACTCGTCAATGGGAATGAGGAAACTTTGCATTTCATCACTTGGTAAAAATTGAGAAAAACTCGGAAAAAAATAGAACGATGTTTTTTTCTTTACGATGAAATAAGAAGCCCATTGTTGAATAATTTTTCGAATTGTATTTATGTACTTTTCGTTTTGAGGGCCCATTTTTTGAACTGCCTCCCTAGAATTTTAGAAGCGATAGCCGCAGTTTGAACCATGTTTTCAAAAGAACGTAGAAAATTGAAGAAAGTACTGCTTGGAGTGCAAACTCCCGGACGAATAAACCCAGATTACCTCAATCTTATGGAAGCAACGGCAAGTAGGGGTTCATTTTCAAAAATAATCAGATATTTTTTTAAAATGCCTCGTCAATCATTTTCAAGCAAACAATCACTTTGAAGTCTCATCTTCCAGTATTCATCAATAATTGAAGAAGCGTGACACTAAAGACGCATTTTTTTTTTAAATAACAGTTTGAGGTGATACTAACTTAACTGGCCACATAACTGCTTTGTATCTTGGCTCAATTTCAGCTGAGAAATTTTTGAAAAAGTGAGCACGCGATCAAGAAAAGCACAGTGTCGGGCCCCATCGCTTTCAGTCCATTCCCGCATGCCGATACCACAAACAGATAATTTGCTTGGTAAAGTTGAGCCCAACGTAAACGACCAAACCGAGAAACGAGGCTGCTCATTAAATTTACAAAGCGAAATGTCCCTCAAACGCGAGCTTCGTCCCGTTTCCAAAGAGTTTCTATTTATGTTTGTGACATCTTTAGTGATGTTGTGGTCGATCCGCGCAAATAATCTCGTCGCCTCATTACCATTACAGCTTTGCATGAACTTATTGTTGCCTTCAGCCTCAATTTGAGGCGGCTTTAAGTCGGAATTGGTCGGTACCACGAAGAAAACGGAATTGGAATGGGAAGTGATGTGAGTCGATCGATAAATTCTTTTGCGCTTTGTGGCTGGCAGCATGCTGTTAATTAAATTTTTGAGGTTTGCCCTCAAATCTAAAGCGCTGGTTTACACACAGCGAGAGAGAGATGGTGTACGTGCCGCTATCCACATTGTTGCCCTGTGGGGATTCAATTTTGGATTGTTTGCTAACCGGTATTAATTTCCTTTGCGGTTTTCTTGCCACTTTGATGATGGTGGAAAAACCAACTTTTGCAGGTTTTACCCAGAAAAAAACTACCGTTAAAACAAATCGGCGACTATTAAACGAAAATCTGAATTTTCCAGTCATCCGTCTCCATTTTCAGGATTGTTTCGCAACGGAATTCACTCCTTTATTGCCCCCCATTTTGCCTTTATATTTATAATTTATCTTTTTAATGTTGGCGGGCGCACATTCCCGAATTTGCTCCTTTTTCGTCCAGTTGCTGTTGTTGTTGCCCTTAAAACGGATTAATCCAGAGACGAGCGCCGGGCTCCAAAAGAAACGGGAACGTGATAATTTTGGATAATTGTTCAGCGAGCACTGGAATTTGTCGAAAACAATGGGGTCTTTATATCGGGATTATCGGCCCAACAAATGGCGGATTCTTCCCTTCAAGTCGGATAATTGACTTTTTGCTTTAATTGGATTTGTTGGGAAACTTCACTCGCTCTCTCACACCGTTCCGCTTCAATCCAACTCATTTTTGGTTCATACTTCTCCGGAGCAATTATCGCACCTTATCGGCACTCCAGATTCAAATTGAGGCTATTTTTGGATTATTTTGCTTACGAATTGTTGTTTGCCTGCATAAGTGCTTTTGCACAAAGATTGCGCCATTCTCGTAAGTGCTTCAAAACTTCAAGTGCGGGCTTAAAACTCCAACACCCTGTATGGGGGAGCGATTTGCAATCCCCACCCCTTAGAAGCAAGGGTTCTAATCCCCTTCCTTGGATCTGAATTCCTTCCCCTCCATCTGGACGCAAAATCCATTTAACCAACCCCTAATCTTCCAACAGAAGTTTCAACCACCCAGTAGAAGGGAGACAATGCTACCAATCCGGCCCTGTTACACAATAACCACGGAAAACCGATCTAGAGTGGCAATAACGTAACAACAATGCACAGATAAATCGATTTGCCTCGAAAAACAAACTCAAGTGTTTGTTTTTCCGTCCCCTAATTGGTCAAACTGATAAAGTGCTCTGTCCATTAATCGGTGTGCCAGGTGCGGGCATTCGAACACTGGGAGGAATTTTCTGGAATGTCCCCGATGAAAAATCGCCCCGCTAATGCCCGGAAAAGAACGCAACTGATGTCAGTAAGGACTGACCTGTGCCATGGACACTTCAAGCCATTGAAGTGTTTTTTAGCGAAAAACACTTCACCAAACAAACGAATCATGCCATCCAAAGTGGCCTGATTAAGATAAGAACAACCTCAATAAATAACCCGGCAGGCCCTGTTGCTGGTAAGTCGCTTGTTCACTCAGGTAAGTTGAGCTAATAAAACTAGAACGTTTCGCCGCTAATCGCCCTGGTGGTCATCATATAGCAGCATGAAAATAGCAGCGATTATTCTGCTGGGCCTCGCGGCCGGAATCCAGGCGGGAACCTACCTGGATCGCTTCAAGGAGCAGTACGAAAAAATCCACAATTCAGCCAACGGCTACTTCTCCAAAGAGGGCGTGCCATACCATGCAATTGAAACCCTTGTGGTAAGTTTAGGCAGTGCTCTACCGCAAGGATCAAAAGCAGGGATCTAACAGGTGGAAGCCCCCGATCATGGACATGAAACCACATCCGAAGCCTACTCTTACTACTTGTGGATGGAGGCAATCAACGGCTACGTGACTGGAGATTTCTCCTCCTTCAACACCGCTTGGAATAACTTGGAGACTTACATCATCCCCACTTACCAGCCTACTTTGGGTGGGTACAACCCCAGCTCCCCTGCCACCTATGCTGATGAAAAGGACACGCCCCAAGAGTACCCCTCTCCTATGGAGTCAGGCGTTCCAGTTGGACAGGATCCTTTATACAGCGAGCTGAAATCCGCCTATGGACAAGACTTTATGTACTCCATGCATTGGATGCTGGATGTAGACAATATCTACGGATTTGGTGAGGGAGACCATTCCACCTCAGAATCTGGATTTTACTCAAACCATTTGCAGGAGACGCCCAAGGGCAATGTGAAGGCGGTCCAGAGCAGAGCGGTCCTTCCTTGATTAACACCTTCCAAAGAGGACCTCAAGAGTCGGTGTGGAGGACCATTCCCCAGCCCACTTGCGATGTCTTCAAGTACGGAGGCAACGTATGTAGTCGTCAAGCTCTACCGCTTCCAGACTCACGTTCCAGATGTTTTCCAGAACGGTTTCCTGGACCTTTTCGTCGGAGACAACAGCTACACTCCTCAATGGAAGTACACAGCAGCCCCTGATGCGGACGCCCGTGCAGTACAGGCCACCTATTGGGCGGTGCAGTGGGCAAAAGAAAAGGGCGTCTACAGCTCCATCTCCGAAACTGTGTCGAAAGTGAGCAAAATGGGTGACTATCTGAGGTACGCGATGTTCGACAAATACTTCAAGAAGGTGGGCAATTGCGTTGGAAAATACGACTGCCAGGGGGCGACCGGCAAAGACAGCGCCCACTATCTCATCAGTTGGTAGGTACCTCCCACAACTGCCCGGCAGTTATAAAGTGGGCGCTTTTCAGGTATTTCGCTTGGGGTGGAGCCATGCCCAACTATGGCAACTGGGCTTGGGTGATTGGGGACGGAGCCTCCCATTTCGGGTACCAAAATCCAATGACCGCATACGCCCTTTCCACTGTGGATGAGCTGAAACCCAAAGGTGCCACTGCTGTGGAGGACTGGACCACTTCCCTGGAACGACAACTGGAGCTGTATGAGTACCTGCAGACCTCTGAAGGAGCCTTCGCTGGGGGCGTGACCAACTCCTGGAAGGGCCGTTATGATACACCCGACAGCAACCTCACCGCCGACACCTTCCATGGCTTGTTCTACGACTGGGAGCCTGTAGGTTTGGTTTTCCAAACAACCAGCAGGGTCTGAAATGCCGTCATATTTCAGGTATACCACGACCCACCTTCTAACAGATGGTTTGGAATGCAGCCCTGGTCGACCGATCGTCTGGCCCAGTACTACTATGAGACCAAAGACTCCAAGGCGGAAGCCATCCTGAAAAAGTGGGTTGCGTGGGTGATCTCAGCCATCAAGCTGGAGAACGGCGACTTCCAAATGCCTGATCATCTAACCTGGTCGGGAAATCCTCCAGACATCCATGTGAGCATCGGAGTTTACACCAAGGAAATCGGTAAGTCTTGCCGGCATTGATTTGCTATTCACTCAATATGGAATTTGGGGGTAGGAACCGCTTCAGCTACTGCGAGGACTTTGGCCTACTATGCGGCTGGTTCTGGGGATGAGGAAGCAAAGACAGTAGCCAAGGGCCTCTTGGACGCCTTGTACAAATACGCAACAGACAAGGGAATTACCATTCCAGAAACCCCCGATCAGTACGGAAGGTTTGAGGAGCCCGTCTACGTGCCATCAGGATGGACTGGAACATACCCCAATGGCGATGTCATTGACTCTTCAGCTACTTTCATAGGCATTCGCTCCTGGTGAGTTTGCAACGACTAAATCCGCCCAAACAACCTTCAATGGGTCGTTTAAGGTTCAAGAATGACGCCCAATGGTCCAAAATCGAGGCCATCTTGAATGGAGGTGAAATCCCCGAGTTTGAGTTCCACAGATTCTGGGCCCAAACCGATGTTGCCATTGCCTTCGGCACCTACGGCATCCTGTTCGACGAGTGAACCAGTAGTGATTTTTTCGTAATTTGACCAAATAAACCCTCGTACTTTTACATGGTTGTTTCATTCAGGCACTCAGGCCAGGTAGGGTTTTTGTCAGTTTCTGACAATGTCACTGCAAGTCTCGAATCCAGATATGCAAGAAGAAGGAAAACAGCAAGTAGATGCTCGGGAAGTGCCCTTTCAGCTCACGCCAAGAGATACTCAAGATCCCAGCTACTCCCAGTTGGAGTTGCCTTAGTAAGTACTCGTAATGAAGAAAAGTGGGGGGTTTGAAGTTGGGGGTTTCAGCAGGGTGATTTGCCGGCAAAGGCTGCGCCAGCAGGCCAAAGTAATGCGCGAGCAATTCTTCAAAGAACTGAAGTGTATGGAGTTGTTTCAAAATACGGCGCTGGATGGGGTGCGACTTCATCGGGAGTTCTGCCCAGTGGTCAAGACCAGAGTCAGAAGGAACCAAAGCTGGGGGGATTTTAAGCGTCTGGAGCAGCTGCTCAACGGCCGAGATTTGCCAGAATGAAGCATGTAGCTCAGTTTTTAGACTTTGCTAGTAAAGTGGGGAGAAAATGCCAACAGAGTTGTTTTGGTTAGTGGGTCTTCAGTTACTGAACCACGATGCAACTTTCGAACCTTTAAAGTTGCAAACTATCAGTCATTTAGTGCACGATTCCTCGCGATACTTCCATCTGCTTAAACGCGTGGAAATCTCTGTTATCCAGGACGATTTTTCCCGTTTTGTTTGCGATTTATCCACGCATTTCCCTCGCCCAACCGGCTCTTGACAAACTTTCCGGATTAAAGCGGCTTAGTACTGATTTATTTTTATCTGGCGGGCAATTTTAATTTTCTTCAAGGGGGGAAAGCTGGCGCCGCCCCCACCGCTAATGAATATATAAGACGGGGCACTTTTTGCGATCAATCCCCAAGGCGCAGTTATTTATATCCCGATTTTGCGTCGTTTTCTATAAAAAAAAAACCGCGATGGCATTGCTTACTTTGAGTGTAAATTGCTCAGTTTTAAGATCGATCCAGAACAGCAGTCTCTGCTGGCCCGGAACAGAAACAGTGATTGCAGCCTTTGAGGTTTAGGATTTTTTACTCAATCCTGGACATGTTCAACAGTGACCGTAAAAATATTTAATTGCAGCGCTTTATCGCGTCGAGCTGTAAAGCAGGCAAACGCGGCCGTTTTAGATAACGACTGCCTTGCACAATAAAACGGCAAGAAGCGAAGATATTTTATGGCAGCAGCGTTAATTTCTCTCATTAACATTCCAGCTGAAAGTTACGACGTTTCAGGCACGGTCTGGAACGAAGTGGACGAGTTAATATCCACTCTCTCGGTGCGATAAAATGACTCACCTAGAAGCAGGCAAAACTGTGCTCACTGTGTACATTCAGCACTCAATCGCCTGCCAATTAAAAGAAAAGCCACCCGCGATAAGAACAGTTAATTAGGCACCTATCAGCAGCTCCAAGGCCTACGAAAGCGCAGTCTTTAAAATGCGGCCTACCTACATTGTGCTGCTTTCAGCTTTCCTGCAGCTTACCTTCGGATTCTCGCTTACCACCGGCTACTTGAAGTACTTCAGGAGAAAAGCCATTGATATTATTGACCAAGCTGGACCAAATGATGACTGCGCCAGGCAGCTAAAAGCCTGGATTGGCGAGCTGTTTGGGCCAAAGTCAACATGGGCAATGAAAAGTAAGTAACCCGCTCAAGGTCAGCAAGGGATTCAAAAATCCAGCTCAACTGAACGCATCAACAAGAAATGAGTTTGAGAAACAATTCCAGTGTTAGATGCCTCAGCCAAGCTCCAAACCGGGCTCTACAGCTTCAACATCTTCCACTTTGGGGACTTTGATGGCTGCCTCAACATCAAAGAGGAGAAAATTGGAATGGGGATAATCGAGGGAAAGTATTGCACTGCTGCCGTCCTTCCAGCTCAGAACTCCAGCAGCGACCTGGCTCAGATTCTGAACTTTGTGACGGTAAGTTCACACCATCCTCCCCTCATAAGCAGTGTGGGATTGTTCCGGCTAGATCGTTCCAGAAATGACTGGATCCCAAAAAGGAAAAGATATGCAGCACATCCTGAAGATATTGAAGGTCATCTATGGTCTTTGTCTACCAAAGGCTTGCAGCGCCCTCAGCATTCAGAAGCTGTGGAACCACTTGGAGGCCTCTTTCAAAATGCCCCTACGTGTGGCGGTGGACGAAGATTTTTGCACCTTCACAGGCAAAGTTCCTTTTGTCTTCCAATGGGACACTATAGTCATGTGAGTTGCAGGTGCAAAAATTGCTGTGTTTTCCAACGCTGTTTTTCAGTTGGGGTTTCGTTGTGTATGCAGTCTTTGTGTTAGCGGCAACAGTCTGTGACCTCTCGCAATTGACCCCTAGAGGTAAATAGGCGCTTGAATCTTGCTTTAGTTTCCATATGCTACTAGTTCCAGGTTGGATCCAGCTGTTGAGGCCCTTCTCGCTTTACAGGAACGCCCGCAAGATACTGCTGCCAGGAAAAAAGGCCAGCTGGGGCTGCCTGGATGGCCTAAAAGTATTCAGCATGTGCTGGGTGATTTTTGGTCACGTGTACACCATTGAGATCCTCACTGGAACCACCAACATGGTCTCATACTTCCAGGTGGGCTCTTTGCGCGCCTCAAATCCCCAAACGGTTCAACTTTGCCTAATTCTCATCTCCAGTGGAGAAACTCACTCTCCTCTTTGCTGGTGCTAATGGCGCCCTTTGCAGTCGACACGTTTCTAGTGATCAGCGGCCTTCTACTAGCCTACAAATGTTTGGAAGTGAGGCAGGCTTTGGGAGGATTCCCGTTTCTTCAGTTCTACCTGGGAAGATTCTTCAGGTACTGCACGAGGTGGCAAAGCCCCTCAATTAAACTTTATAAGTTCGCAGACTGTGGCCCACCTTGCTGGCCACCATCTTGCTCTACACGCACATTTTGAAGTACTTGGGAGATGGGCCAATTTGGCCCCTGATTGCCCACAAGACTGCGCTCACTTGCCGCTACTCTGGATGGGCGACTGCGATGTTCGTCACCAATTTCGTCAAGTTTCAGCATCAGGTGCAGCATAGGCGTGGACCTTTTTTTAACTAGCAGAATAATTGGTTTGATTCAGTGCATCGAGCCCAGTTGGTACTTGGCCGTGGACTGCCAGCTTTATTGCTTGGCCCCTGCTTTGCTCCTGCTGTTCTACAAGAGCCCCAAAAGTGCCTGCTTGAGCCTCATTGGGTTGTGGGCGTGGTCAGCTGGGCATGCCTACAATACCACCGTGCGCTACAAAGAGAATTGGACACCGGCTGAGTAAGAGATCTAGTTGATTTTATGACGCAAGATCTATGTTTCTGGTCCTCAGAGGCGATGATTCTTTTCATCTCCGCATCTACCAGTCGACTTTGGTGCGTTTGCCTCCGTGGGTGTTGGGGCTTGTGACAGGCGCCTTGATCTATCACAAGCCCCCCGCAATAAGCAGTCTAGTGGCAAGGTGGCTGTGGGGGTGTACCTCTTTTTTGTTGGTGGGCGTGATCGTAGCCCACCACGCCCTGATGCTTTATCCCTACAACGAATACCACTCGGCCTTATTCAACGCCACTGCCCGATCTGCCTGGGGGCTGGCCATTTGCCTCTTGATCCTCCTCTGCCTTTCTGGACATGGAGGTTGGGGTCTGCCCTACCAGCTCTATGTTGCAGCTTAAACCCTAATTTCCAGGAGTTGTTAACTGGGTACTGTCGCTGGAGTTACTGCGGCCGCTAGTGCGGATCTCCTACAGCGTCTTCCTGCTGCACTCTGCCGTTATTGCGGTTCTGCACGGCCAGAAGCGCACGCCCGGCCATCAAACCACCTTCAACAGTGTAAGCAAATGGGCACAGGGCGGTTGCATTAACACTCGTTTGCAGTTGCAGGATTTCATCGCAGATCTGCCCTTTATATTGCTGGCTTCCTTCGTGTGGTGCCTGCTGTTTGAGGCGCCGTTTATCGGCCTGGCCAAGCTCCTTGTTGGAGTGGGCATAGTCGGTAGGCGCACCACACTGGAAAAGACACCCGTAGGAACCCTCAAGCTTGCTTGACCCAGACAACCAAAACTCGCCTTTTAGCCTTAGGTTTTTTATCAAATAATAGTTAATGATTGTGGATAAGGGTAACTTAACAGGGGGCAGTTTGTACAGGTTGTCATAAATATTAGCGATTGCTCCAATTTACAGCAATTAGACCTAAGAGTACGTAGCCTAGATTAATGCCAAGTAATACTAGTCGAATCCTCCCCTACACTAATAAACTGAGACTATACGGGGAATAAATGCGAATACAAGCAAAATGGGGGTTTAAAAAAACAACACAGAATCGTTGGCAGTGGACACGCACAAAGCAGGTGCGGAAGTTTACTCGGTAACTGCGATGCGCACTTTGAGGGTTAGGGGTTTCTCGAACTGCACAGCAGATTCGCCTTCGGGCTGCACAGCAGGCGTTCCATGGACGATCAGCTCGAACTGACCGGGCTTCTTCAGGCGGCGCTTGAAGTGCAACGCCCACACCCCGTGCTTGTTCACCAGCTCGAACTTCTTCTGCTCATTCCCTTTGACGATGGTGTAAACCATCCCAACCTGCAACAACTCCCTCGGTTGAATCCCTCTTTCAGGTATACATTAAGATGAGGGGCCGACTAACCTTCACAGCAGGCTGAATTTTCAGAATTCTGATCCGATGCCGGGTTTGCGACAGCGAAATCTTCAAGTCAACCTCCTCGTTGTGTTGGTGTCTTCGACTCCTCCGCCTCTTCAAGCCTCGGCTCTTCTTCAGCCCATTGCTCAGCGTGTCGTTGAAAGACTCATTTTTCCTTTGCGCTGTAGATTCGCGCCTATGTCGCCCATTAACCTGGAAAAGGGATGAGGTAGCCGCAAAACTCATGCATCCAGAACGGCCGCAATTAGAGGTTAATGCCACTTGAGCCAGCCGGAATCGAATTATTCCTAGTGTCAACTCAACTGATGAGTCAAGGATTATCCAGAAAGGGCTTAACGACTGCTCAAAGTTCCCGGATGGGATAAATATTTGCCGGAAGTGTTTTTATTACAATTAGTGACTAATTGGGGCCGAAAACCAGTGGCGGTCCACAAAATTAAAATTCCTCCCAAAGGGTGACAATCCTCGAAGGTTTCAAGTGCAAATTCCTAATGTATTTATGGGGATTAGGGCCCTTTGGGCCCCGAGATCTGGACCAGCTGATCCAGTTATCCAACGTGTCCGAAACTTAATTAGAGCTAGGCGGCATGAACTATTCATCTCGGGGTGGGGTAAGAAACCCTTGTTTGACGAAGAAACGGCCCTGACCGGGACCTCAAATCCCGCATAATCCCTCGGGCTTGGAAAATTGCCGTTTAACTCAAATATTATTAATTGGATTGGTGAATAATTATTCGGCTTTTTCCCGAATAATCTCAAAAGTGTGCTAAAGTCGGGAGGCGAAAAAACTCTGGAATACAACTGGAGTCCTTTGCTCGAAAGCAACAAAACAGCGTATTAAACATTAAACGGCTGCTCTCGGCGCCCTTTTTATTCCGATGGCTCAAGTGCCCTTTCGCGCTCCTTCGGGTTAACAATCAGTGTGATTGAGGCCTCAATATTTAATGTGCAAATAAATATGGAGGAGAACGGTTCAGATTTTCTCCCGCCAATGTTCACATTAAAGGGGACAGCCGGAGTTGACTGAATCATTCTGGCGCCTCTGGATTTCAATTATTGGAGTGTCTCATTGGAATTGAGGCTGTGTAGTGTGGATTATATTGAAGGCTGCTCAAAAAAACGTTACTGATTCCGGGAATCACTAGGCCTCAATTGGTTTAGTAATCTTTCAAAAATCAGGCCTAAAGCAGGAGCATGACTCAGTTAAAGGGGCAATATTTTGGTTATTTCCTTCCAGAGGAAGTCGCAGATGGACTGACGGTAAATTGGCACAGTTGCTACTCACTTGACAGGAGAAACATCCTTCAGTGGTAATCAGCTTGTCCTTGGAGGCGCCTCCAAACGGCTCATCAATGGGGAAAGTGGGAGCATCCCCAATGTCAAATCCGCTCAAAGGGGGATTGACGGTGGTCAAACAGTGCCCCTGGCCAATCCGCGTGTAGCCTTGGGGGCAGCCGCAGGAGAATCCACCGCCACTGGCTGAGCACCCAAAGACGCAGGGCGCCCCTAAACAACCTGGGGCCACCTGGAAAAAATGAACAGTGTCGCTTTCGGTCGCTGAAACTGGCGGATGAATTTTCCATTGATTTTCCGACTGGATGGAATTTATGATATTCCATGCCGGGGACCAGATTAATGGGTCCTTGACGGAATTGAATTTGCCGACAACATTGAGCCAATCCAGAGGCCGACGCTTTGAAATGTCTGGACGTAAATCAAAATTCGCCTCTGCCTGATGAATTAAACAAAATAAACTCGGAGGGCTCTTGACGTCGCTTGGAAAGCCTGATGAGGGCCGTTTGGGGATTAATGGCATTAGGAGCGCGTCAATTATTGCTTGTTTTCGATCATTTGCCCGAGAAAATCCTGCAGCTTTTTCTGCGCCGATGGGACTGTTCCTGGCGCTCCAGTTGCAAGCCTCTTATTCGCGGCGCGACTGTGATTTATTCGGGGCCACTCTGCCGTAAAATCAAATATCTCTTTAAACAAAATATGATGCTCGCTTTTGATATATAACCGAGTGGAGACAGGGGTGGTTTTCCGCTTTGCATGCAAACAGGGAAAGTTTGATTACTTTTCGGCAGCGCGCAAACAATGCGCACTCCATATGGATACGCGATTTCGTTTCATTTTTCCATCCGGTCCCCAAATGCCACCAGCGCCCTAATGAAGCGCCCTTTGGGGACAGAGGGCGAGAATTTAAATTAAATTCAAATACCTGTCATCACGTTTCATTCAGCCTTAAGGCCCTTAATCGCGGTCTGTCAATAAGCGTCGGAAAAGGTAAATTCCACCTTTTCACCGACCGACATCCAACTGTCCAATACAGACTTTCCTTCGGGTGATATATTAAGTTGTGGCTGGCGGGGGAAACGTTCCCTTTACGAATCCCTATTTCGAACTTTTATGCGCCCTCTTTTAGCAACAACGCATCTATTGACAAGATGTACACATTTTAAGCGTTTTTTGAGCGTTAACGACCTTTAACCGATGATTTCTTCCTTATTATTGACTCAAACACTTTATAAATGCATATTTGTGCCCATCTTACGTCGAAAGGAATCGATTGAGCTCAAAAAACATGCATGGGAAATTTTGATTTTTTGTCGAAAATTTTTCCCAGGGTGGCAGTCGATTTTTTGAAAAAATGAGAATTTTCTCAAAACGTCTTAAAAATTATATCATTTTCAGCTCACGGACGCGAGGAATGCATCGAAGTCATTGAAAAACATGGTAGAAGTTTCAGATTCGAAATAATAGACATTTTCTTCTTATTATTGACCCAAACACTTTATAATGCATATTTGTGACCTCGTTACGTCGAAATGAACCGATTGAGCTCAAGCAACACGCATGTGAAATTTTGATTTTTTGTTGACATTTTTCCAACAGTGGGGGTGGATTTTTGGAAAAAATGAAAATTTTCTAAAAACGTTTCAAAATTACATCATTTTTTCAGCTCATGGACGCGAGGACTGCATCGAGCTCATTGAAAAACATGGTAGAAGTTTCAGATCGGAAATAATAGACATTTTCGGCACATTTTCAGCTATTTTTAACGTTCACGATCTTCAGCCGACGATTGACGACTTGTTATGGACCCAAACACTTTATAAATGCATACTTGTGACCTTACGTCGAAAGGAATAGATTGAGCTCAATAAACACGCTTGTAAAATTTTCATTTTTGTCGAAATTTTTCCAAGGGTGGAAGTCGATTTTTTGAAAAATAAAAATTTTTTCAAAACGTTTTAAAATTACATCATTTTCAGCTCACAGACGTGAGAAATGCATCTAACTCATTGAAAAACATGGTAAAAGTTTCAGATCCGAAATAAATAATATCCGAATAAAATAATTTTAAGCGTTTTTTGGGCCTTCACGATCTTTAGCCGAAGATGTCTTCCTTATTATTGACCCAAACACTTTATAAATGCATATTTGTGACCTTCTTACGTCGAAAGGAATAGATTAAGCTCAAAAAACACGCTTGTAAAATTTTCATTTTTTGTCGAAATTTTTCCAAGGGTGGAGGTCGATTTTTTGAAAAATAAAAACTTTCTCAAAACGTCTTAAAAATTATATCATTTTCAGCTCACGGACGTGAGAAATGCATCATTGAAAAATGGTAGAAGTTTCAGATCCGAAGTAAGAGACATTTTCGGCACATTTTAAGCGTTTTTTCAGCGTTCACGATCTTCAGCCGACGATGTATTCCTTATTATTGACCCAAACACTTTATTAATGCATATTTGTGATCTTCTTACGTCGAATGGAATCGATTGAGCAAAAAAATGATTAAATTTGACGTAGTATTCACCAGGATTCGACGTGAAAGAGACGTCGGTTTAATTTACCTGCACGCAAATGTTCAAACGACTGTCAAACTGGTAACCATCAGGGCAGCCGCATCGGTAACTTCCAGGGGTGTTGAAACAGTTGCCAGTGCCGCCGCAAGGGTTGTTGAGACACTCGTTCTTGTCCAGACATTGGTTATAGTAGGCGTTGAGTGCGTAACCATCGGGGCAACCACACCTGTAGCCCCCCACTAGATTTTGGCAGCCTAAAGAAATTTTTAAAATTATTTTTCGTTTTTTTGGACACCGTCAATTACCTTCGGCGCATTTGGAATCGTCGCTGCACTCATCGGCATCCAGGCAGAAAGTTCCAGTGGCGTCCAGCTTGAATCGTCTCGGGCAGATGCACTTGAAGCTGCCCAATGTGTTAACGCATCTGCCTGGCTTCGAGCAGTAGCCGCCCTTTTCGCACTCGTTTATATCTGGATGCAAGAAATAGCGTTTCGATCGGCTAACAAAAGCGCCAAAGTGTGTCGGAGTGCAGTTTTGGAAAAGGCGCCACACGTGTCGCTCGGGTGTTCCCTCTGGATTAGTGCGCGCTAGTTTATCTTAGAGGGGATTTGCTGGGAGTCATTGGAGATTTTCCGGAGCCAAGGTAAAGCAAGTGGAGGGCGACCACACGCGAACTGTAATTATGGCGGTGTTGGGGCTTATTTATGGGCTGTGACGACGGAATGTTGTGCCGTCGCCGTCAATTTCCACATTTATTACTACTGGGGATTTTAAACAATACACGATGTTCTGACTCCTGGGAGATTTTTATGCCGAAGTTTATGCACGACACTAACGCCCAAACAGTCAAAAAAATAGTTTCAAGAGCATAATAATAAAAAATGTACCTAGGGAAAAAATTTGAAAATCGTTTTGAGATTGAGGTCTCCCTTTGCTGCTTTTGATGAAAGACAAAAATTTTGCAAAAACACGCACTAACCGCTCCAACAGAATTTATCCAGTTCCAAAGTTGGGGCAAACTTGCCCGGCTATTTTGTTGAGCAGTTTATATCTCTCCGGTTGAGTATTCGAGCACAACTTTAAAAATTTTGATGATTTCCAAAACCCCCAATCAACTCACCTTCACACTTGTCGCCCACTTGAGTGTAGCCCTCATCGCATGAACAAGTGTAACTGCCCTCAGTGTTGACGCAGTTCTGCTGGCACAGGTTCTGACCAGTAGCGCATTCATCCAGATCGCGGCACGTCACTGAATCGGCATTCAGCAGGAAGCCGGCCGGGCAGGAGCAAATGAAGCTGCCTTCTGTGTTCTGGCAGTTGTACTGGCAGGGCGAGCGGTCACATTCGTTAATGTCGATGCAGCTCAACCCGGAACCATCGCGCTTGAAGCCCTTGTTGCAGATGCAACGGTAGGAGCCCAACGTGTTGATGCAGCGGCCGTTTCTGCACAGATCTGGCACCGTTTCGCATTCGTTGATGTCTGAAAGGCCACGAATCAAGCCCGGGGGCTAAGATTGAGCAGGGTAGGAACCAACCTTCTCCAGTTATCAAAAAGCCGCTTTCCAAGCACAGCTCCTGGTACTCCACGGAATATCTGGCCGGACAGGGCTCGCAGTTGCCGCCCCAGGCTTCGCCCATCGAGCAGCAACAGTCCGCCTTTGTGGACTTGAAAGCATGCTCGTACTTGTTGGTGCATTGTCGGTTGCGGTAGCAGAACCCTGCGCGCCGATCTGCAGGATTTCATCCAAGTTTCGCTCAATCCAAACAGTCTACACTCAACCAGAGCTCACCTAAACAGCGCTTGCCATCCTCACTGTTCTCGAAGCCTTCGAAGCAGTCGCATCTGAACGAGCCCTGCAGGTTGATGCAGCGACCGTGTTCACATAAGTCCGGATTCGTCGAGCATTCATCAATGTCCCTGCAATCATCCCCATAGCCCAGCTGAGTGAATCCTTCGGGGCAGATGCACATGAAAGAACCCACCAGGTTCTTACACATGAACCTGCAGTTGTTGGCTGGCGTGTTGCATTCGTCCACATCTGCAACCCCCAGTTGCTCAACTCCCCTTTACCGCCCTAGAAAAAATACCTTGACAGTGGCGTCCGTCGGGGGCCAGGCTGTATCCGTAAGGGCAAATGCACCTGAAGGATCCAGGAACGTTGTGGCACCGGAACGCGCACTGGTTCCCTAACTCCTGGCATTCGTTGATGTCTTCGCATACCTAAAAAGTTGTTCAAACCTGGTATAAACTTTCTGGAGGCTTTTTAGAAGACTAATACCTGTAAGGGCCCTGGGGCGAAGCCATCGTTGCAACTGCACTCAAAGCCTCCCTCCAGGTTGGAACAAGTGCCGTTGCCGCAAATATTAGGGTTCACTCGGCACTCGTTCTCATCAACGCACTTTTTCCCAGTGGCGTCCAAGATGTAGCCACCCGAGCAGTCGCAACGGAACGATCCGTCGGTGTTAACACATTCGCCCTGTTCGCAAACGTTTGGCATCAGCTCGCACTCGTTCAGATCGTTGCCGGTGTCCATGCGACCGGGCCCTTCAGGGCACATCTTCAGAAAGTCTGCGGATCCCTCCAGAGGGCACCGCTTGCAGTAGCGACCCCATGCGGCCCCTTTGGAACAGCAGCATTCTTTGATTGTTATCTGCATCCCTCTTGGTTCTGAGCAGAGACCGCGGGTAAATGAGTCGAAGCACTGATCCTGTCTGTAGCCGGTAGAGTAGCAGTAAGCCGAGTGAACTGAATGAATAATGAAAACCTACCGAACATCGACGCATTTCATGGAAAGCGACTCCAAGATGAATCCATCAGGACAAGTGCAAAAGGCGCCCCCATCTGTGTTGGTGCATTGACCGTTCTCACATATGCCAGGATTGATGGCGCATTCATCGATGTCTTCGCAAACGTTGGTAATACTGCTTAGTTCATAGCCTTCGGGGCAGGTGCAGATAAAGGATCCCATCACATTAGTGCACTTGCCAGGCGCAGGACAGACGCCGGGCAGCTGGAAAGATCAAAAGTTTCCACCAGAGGGACGCACCAGATCAGACTCACCTCGTGACACTCATCAACGTCGCGGCAGTTGTGCTGGTCCACCGACAGAGTGTAACCGGCAGCACATTCGCAGAAGAACGAGCCCAAGTTGTTGCGGCAGCGCCCATTGCGACACAAAAATGGCATCATGTGGCATTCGTCAATGTCCACGCAATCGTTGCTGTTGCTGAGCTTGAAGCCAGCGTTGCAGTGGCATTTGTAGCTGCCCACTAGGTTGATACAGGTGCCGTTGTTGCAGATGTTCGGGTGTCGCACGCATTCGTCTGCAATCGTTCCCCCATGTTTATCATTTGAGGAAGTAAGCCCTCAAGTGTTTACCTATATCAACACAGCTGTCCCGGGAGGAGGTAAGTCGGTAACCAGTTTCGCAGATGCACTGGAAGCTTCCTTGCAAATTCTTGCACTCACCACTCTGGCACACATGCGGCCTCTCGATACACTCGTTAACATCGACGCAATCTAAGCAAAAGAAGACGATATGGGCCAACTTTTATTCAGGAAAAATGAATGGCTCCTCAGCTATTGATGGTCAAAGTTGTTTGCTTCAGCGTTAAAACCCCCTTTGAGACTCACCTAAGAAGGAGGCTCCATGCTTGTATCCTTCTGGACACTGGCACTCAAAACTACCAGGCATGTTCACGCATTGTGCGTTGCCGGAGCACGGGTTGCGATTGCACTCGTTGTCGTCGATGCACTGGTGCGAGTTGGTGTCGTAGATGTAGCCCCGGTTGCACATGCATTCGAAGCTACCCGGCGTGTTCATGCATTGGCCGTGACTGCACATGTTCGGCATTAACTCGCACTCGTTTATCTCCATCGTTTTGTTGGTCATCGGATTGACCACAAAACCGGGCGTGATGCCGCACAGCAGCTTGTGTTCGGCTGAAAAATGCCATAAACTCCTTAACCCCTCAAAAGACACTTAAATTTGTAAGAGTTTTACTTAATTGAAAAGTTGGTCTAAAAAAGATAGCTCAAGTTTATACCTACTGGTGCCTTGGAGGGGGCAGGGCTCGCACGGTTGGCCCCACGCCTGCCCCATTGAGCAGCAGCACACTTTCTTGGTCTGATTCTGCGTCATTGGGGTGCTGCACTGCCACCGGCTGTAGTTCAAGAAGCAGATATCCTTCCTCATATCCACGCACTCTCCTGCAAAAGGTCGCATCAAAACCCGGCCGTCGCCGCTAATTCTCCCACTTACGTTTTCCTGGGAGGGGCATGTAGCCTTCGGGGCATTGACAAAAGTATTTGCCTGGCTCGTTCACGCAAATCCCCACTGAGCAAATCAAGGGACTTTCCGCGCACTCGTCAATGTCCACGCACGTGTAGCCAGTGACGTCCAGCCGGAAGCCTTCGTTGCAGGAGCACATGAAGCTACCGAAGGTGTTGGTGCAATGGCCATTTTCGCAGATGTTTTCGTGGTCCTCGCACTCGTTGATGTCCTCGAGAACTACCTGCAGCAGTTTGGCAATATGCACATCTAGCACTAGAAGGGCGCAGCCCATAACTCACCGTGAGGTCGTTAGGCTTGTACCCCTGCCCTCCGGGGCATAACTGCTGATACTCGATGCTGTTGGGGTCTGGGCAAAGTTCGCATTGCGGCCCCCATGCTTTCCCCACTGAGCAGCAACACGACGCCTGCGTCACATAGTCAGCAGTTGGAGCCTCGCATCTTCCAGGGCTTTGCACTTGGAGGAAACATCTGGAGGTTCTGCGGTCTATTCCCCAAGCCCCATTAAATCTCCGATTACCGGACTTGAATCAATCACTACCTATGCAGGCGTTGCCCTCGGCCACCAGCTGGTAGTTCTGCGGGCAGATGCACTTGAAGGTCCCCTCCATGTTCCCGCACTCCCCATACAGGCAGGACTGAGGACTCTCGCACTCATCAATGTCCGTGCAGTTTCCTCCTGATCCATCCAGCTTGTAGCCTTCGTTGCATTCGCAACGAAACATCCCGAGCGTGTTCTCGCAGCTTCCAAACACGCACAAATTGCCGAACATCTCGCATTCATTAATATCTGCAAGCGAGAAGCTTTAGATCACGCCACCCCAATCAACCAAAGCCCAACCTGCAGTACCTCGTCCTGGTTAGTAACTAATTAGGGTGGTTAGTGGGGGGTTAACGGTACTGACCGACACAGCTCTGTTCGTTGCGTTCGTTCGGGTGCATAAAGCCCATCTCGCACTCGCAACGGAACGCGCCCGGGTAGTTCAAGCATTGGCCGTTCTCGCATAGGCTCGGATCGTTGATGCATTCGTCAATGTCCACGCAATTGTAACCGTCCCCTTTGAAGCTGAAAAAGAACTAAACACTCCCGCTGGCTGAAAGGGAGGCGCTTACTCACCCAGAGTCGCACTCGCATCTAAAGGAGCCGTCGTTGTTGATGCACTGAGCGTTCTGATCGCACCCTCCGTTGTTTGTCAGACACTCATTGATGTCGCGGCAGCTGATGCCATTGCCAGTAAAGCCCTCCAGGCACCGGCACTGATAAGAACCCTGAAACTGACCAATCAGCTGCTGCCTCAACTCTAGACCAAAAACCTACCGGGTTGTTGATGCAATCGGCGTTTTCATCGCAGTTGTACGTGCCCAAGTAGCACTCGTCATCATCAGTGCATTGAGCGCCTCCTTCCGGCTTCACTGAGTATCCCTCCTCGCAGCGGCACTGGAAGGAACCTAGCGTATTATGGCACTCGCCCGCCCCGCAAATGTTCGGGTTCTGCTTGCACTCGTCTATGTCTGCAAGCCAGTTGAACATCCAGAAGAACTGTGAGGCGGCAGCAAACAACCAACCTACCCAGACAGGAGGTTCCAGAAGCGCCAGCCAACAGTCCCTCACTGCAATGGCAGATGAAGCTCCCAATGGTGTTGGTGCACTTGCCCCCGTTGCAAATCCTCGAGTTCTCCTTGCACTCGTCTATATCCGAGCAGCTCTTCCCATCTAAGTTCAGTTGATACCCCGAACCACATGAACATGAGAAACTGCCGGGAGTGTTGAGGCACACGTCGTCGCAAGGCTCAAAGTCGCACTCGTCAATATCTGCAAGCCACAGCAAGGTAAAGGTCAAGAGTTGGAGGGTTTAGTTGAAGCCGTAGACCTTCGCAGTGGGACTTCAGGCCGGTTTGCTGATAGCCCTCGTTGCAGATGCACTGGTAAGTGCCCATCATGTTCTCGCATACCCCGTTCGAGCAGATTCCACTTGTTCGCGAGCATTCGTCGATGTCCTTGCAGGATTGTTTGTCGGCGGCCAGCTCGTGGCCAGGCGGGCAGTCGCACTTGTACGATCCCTCGGTGTTTAAGCATTTACCGCCCCTGCACAGGCCTAAGGGAGGAACCAACAACATGAAACACCCTAAATAGAGTGCCGACAACTGGAACCCACCTGGAGCCTCCTCGCACTCATCTATATCCATGCAGGTCTGCATGGGCGGCTGCGTACGGAACCCTTCAAAGCATTCACAGAAAAAGTCGCCTGGGGTGTTCCTGCACACCCCACTGCCGCAAACGTTCGTTGTTGTTATACTGCATTCATCAATATCTAGCAAACCCAAAATTTCTCCGGTCATCCAACTGGCGTCACATAAGGAAATTCTTCGCAACTCACCAACGCACTTGATGCTGTTGTCATCAAAGTCATACCCCTTGTTGCATTTGCAGCTGTAGCCACCGATGGTATTCTTGCAACGGCCGTTCTGGCACATTCCCGAAAATTCCGTGCATTCATTGATGTCCTTGCGTTCCAGATAACCCACACCTTTGGGGCAGAGTTCTGTGTAAGCTGCAGAACCCAGGCGAGGGCATGGTTCGCATTTGTTGCCCCACGCTCGGCCAATGGAGGAGCAGCAGCACAAGTCCTTGTGGAAAAGACCTTCGATAGCGTACGAACATTTTCCGTTCTTCAGTTTGGTAAAGCATTGCTCTTCTCTCATGTCAAGGCATTGGGTTCCTAAAGAGAAATCTCTGTTAACTGCGCTTGTGCATTTGGACACGTAAGGAAACTTACTGGTGTCATCAAGAGTGAGTCCAATTGGACAGGTGCACGTGAAGCTTCCATCGGTGTTTACGCAGGTTCCGCCGCCCCTGCAAATATCAGGGTTGAGCTCGCACTCGTTGATGTCCGTGCAGGCTTTCCCGTCCGCTTTGGTGTAACCTGCAGGGCATTCGCACTCGTTTCTATTGCAGCGCTCACATGGCGAACCCCACGCCACCCCTATGGAGCAACAGCACTCTGTCCGCTTGCTTAGCTGGGGCAAATTGTTCTCGCACCTTCCATGATTCAACTTCGTCCAGCAGGAGCCTCTTCTGTTGTCTAGTGGGAAATTGGGGAAATTTTCCCGATTTGGCCCAAAGCTGGTGACTTACCGATGCAAATGCGGCCGGTGTTGTCTAGCACTGAGCCCGGATCGCACTCGCACTTGTACGAGCCGAGTGTATTCACGCACTCGCCATTGAAGCACGCCTCTGGGCCCAGTTCTTTGCACTCGTCCACGTCCTCGCATACGAAGTTTTGCTGGTTTAGCTGCGTGCCCGTGGGACAGATGCATTGGAAGCTACCCGCTGTGTTCCTGCACTGTCCTCCGCCGCACAACTTTTAAAGAATTTTGAGGAGTAAAAGCATACATTGGATTCATTAGAATCTCACCACTTCGTCCATTTCGCACTCATTGATATCAGTGCACAGTTTGCCTGATTCATCAACTTCATAGCCGGGGTTACAGATGCAGCGGTAGGTTCCAATCAGGTTCTCGCAGGCACCATTTTGGCAAATGTTCGGGTTCTGGGCGCACTCGTTTATATCGTTCCCGTCGAAAGTTGACCCTGTTTTCAATTCAGGTTTCGATTTTCAAAATTGTTTGATTGAAGTTTGTAGGCTTACCAGGTCCATGTGGGCAGAGCAGCTCAAAGTCAGTGGTGCCGGGCATGGGGCAGGGCTGGCACGCCTGCCCCCACGCCATCGGTTTGCCAGTAATGATGGTGCAACAACAGCAACTGGATTTGGTCACTGCACTGGACGAAGGATTGATGCACTGTCCATCCCGATACTCCTGGTAGCAGAGATCGCGCCTGGTGTCCAGACACGAGCGTCCATCTGAACCCAGACTGAACCCGGAATGGCACTCGCACCTGAAGCTGCCGGGGGTGTTGGAGCAGCTTCCGAACTGGCAGGGGGAGCTGATGCATTCGTCGATGTCCAAGCAGTGGCGTCCGTCTGGGCCCAGGCGGTACCCAGAATCACATACGCATCTGAATGATCCTTCCATATTGATGCATTTTCCATGGTCGCACATTCCTGAGCAAGCAATGGGATTACCTTTGCTATAAACAAGAAAGGATCTGAACACCTCACCAGTGGCGGCACATTCATCCATATCGCTGCAAAACGTGCGGTCGCTAGACTCAGTAAATCCAGGCAGGCACTGGCAGGTGTAGGATCCAGGAGTGTTTTCGCATCGGCCGTTCAAGCAAATGCGGGGGTTTTCGTAACATTCATCAATATCTGTAACACGAATGTCCATTTGAATCACATACTTACTTGTATAAAAAAACAAGAGGGGAAGTTTAAAGTCGTTGACCTACCGATGCAGGCAAACCCAGTAGGGCTCAGCTTGAAGCCGCTCTTGCATTGACACTTGAAGCTGCCGTCCATATTGATGCAGATGCCGTTCGAGCACATGCCGATCTCACTGCACTCGTCATGATCCGTGCACATCGTCCCATCGGGCGACAAGTCGAAGCCCGCAGGGCAGATGCAGTTGAAGCCGCCCGGGGAGTTGATGCAGCGCCCGTTCAGGCACTTTCCCTCGCTGCATTCGTTGATGTCTGCAAATGAAGAGCTGCGTCAGCTTCAGCCGCATGAGAAAATGCTGCACAAGGGGCAATAAAATCACTAGCCTTCACACACTTGCGACTTCCCCATCCGGTATCCGGCGTCGCAAATGCAGTCGTAGCCTTCTGGTTGGTCGACGCATTTCCCATGCCCGCAGATGGTTGGTCGGAGCATGCATTCATCCACCAGCGTGCTCTGAAGCTTGGTATTTTGCTCCGGCCGCTGACTGTCCCAGCTGGTCAGGTTGTAGTCCTTGCCCGCGATCGTAGAGTGGTAGATCTGGCCGGTCGAGCACAACTTGCGATGATCATCTGCACAACAACAGCAGCAAATGAAGCAGGGAACTGGGAGATGAACTAGAGGAGAAAACTTGCCGTTTCCATACTCTGGGCAGGGGGCGCATTCGTCCCCCCATCCCTGTCCAACGTGCTGGCCGCAACAACAGTCCTTCTTCGATAGGCGATATTGGAGCTCGTCCCTGCAGTAGCCGGAAAGAGTGCGATGAGTGTAGCACAACCCTTGCCTGCCATCTGCATCAAAATTGTCAGGTTTCAGAGGTGTGGGGCAAGTAAGGCCGCTTCCCATCCCACAATCACTCACCTATGCAGTAGGTCTTGTCCTGGCTCTGGATAAACCCTGGATGGCACAGACAGTAAAACCCTCCGGGAGTATTGACACACGCCCCATTTTCACACACATCCTCATCCTCACACTCATTGCGATCGTCGCATCGGTTACTGCTGGGGTTTCTGGCCTGCCCGGCTGGGCATTCGCAGCTAAACGATCCCACGCTGTTCACACAACGGCCTCCGGCGCAGAGGTGAGGAATCGCCTCGCATTCATTTATATCTGCAACCGCGAACCTGCAGCCACCTCCCATCAGCCACTCCAACACTTACCAATACACTCGCCAGTTTTCTGGTTCTTCAAAAAGCCAGTGTCACATTCCAGGTGGTTGGGGCAGTGCTCGCACGGGTGGCCCCAGGCTTTGCCTACAGTGGCGCAGCAGAGGGTCTTAGTGCAGACGACACCCTCTAGTTGGTTGACGCACAGAGGTCCTCGGATTCCCGTGTAGCATGGCCCAGTTCGATAGTCTTCATGCAAGAATAATAGATGAATCATGAGGTAATGATACTAAGAGGGGGAAAACTGGAGGCTCACCTACGTCGCAGTGAGTGCCAGCAAATCCATACACGCAGGCACAGCGATCTGGGCCGATGCAACGCCCTCCATTTTTGCAGGGTTCTTCACATATAGCTGCAATTGAATTGAGGAATTGTGGGGCTCATTAGGGGTTTGAGGTAGGTTAAAGACGCAGGCTTACGCTCCGTGCAGAACTCGCCACTGTATCCGGGCACGCAGCTGCATTGACCATCCACGCAGGTTCCGCCGTTCATGCAAATCGCTCTGCACTGTTTTCCTTCGCCTGCAGACGTGCATTGAGTTAGTTTGAAGGTTTTTCGAGGAAAATTGTGATTAAATAGGAATTACCACCGTAGCTTAGTTGGCGGCTCTGGCAACTGGAGGATTTTTGGCCGCCCTCGCATTGGCAAACGTTGGGCAATACACACTGTCCCGGGCTGCAAGTCCTGCTGCAGACAGCTAGAAAGACCGACTTTAAGCCACTGGTTCTGTGCAAACAAAAAACTTACGTATAATGCACAGGCCTAAAGCCGCATGTCGTTGCCAGCCAGGGCAGCAGTAAGATCGCGCCCTGCTTCTGCACACATTTGGCCTGGAAACAGTTAGAAAACATCATCATTTCTTCGTTTTTCAACCATTAACTGGGCGCTATCAGAAAATTACCCAGTTTCCATATCGCAGTATGTGAAAGCTTTTTTACGAGCCGATAGCCGACATGAACCGTCGGTCAGTCTAACAGGAGACGCCACTTGGGCAAGGTTGAGAAATTTTATGCATAAACCAACTTCAGGGCTAGGTTCAAGACGATGTTCTTAAGCCCATTCACATGCATTCGATTAAGGCAGGCCGTAATTATTTCCTGCAAAGTAATCGGCACCAATTGGGGCCAAAGAGCGCGCAAAAGGAAGCCCACTGTCAATACGCGCTTAATTAGTGTCATAAGTGTTTCTAAGTGTTCAATGGGAAAGTCGACGCTCTTCACTCTGGCTCCTGCTGATGGGAATTGGGTTGTAGCAAAGGTTTCTTCGAACACTGCTGAACTGGACAATTTGCCTGTTCAGTGAGCCTTCAAATTATAGTTTAAAGGTGAAATGCCCTAAAACCCCAACGAATTTCCTGCAAGTAGTTGACATTTTCAGTCCAATTACTGGCGGTTGTTGGCCTTTGACTGGGCAAATTTGCCATTTTCTACTTAAATTGAGTACTGGAATATAAGGTTCTGGGCTATCCTGAGGCATTCTAAAGGAAAAACTTACACAGTCCAACCTGTGGTTGCGCTCATTAGTGCACTGTTGAAATTGAGGTAAAATTTTAATAAAGGCCACAGTTTGAAATTTTTTTTAAACTCAGGAAAACCGCGAGTACGTCGCAACTTGCAGACCCAAACCATTTCTGCTCCCAAAATTGGCGTTAAAGGCGAATTTTTGAAAAAAGTCTTGTAAATTAAGCCTGTCCAATAATCGAAAGTTCGTCATGCAAATTTGCAAAAAAATCCACAAATTCAGGAAAGCTATTATTAAATCCGCATTTTGAGGAGACAGAGCCGTTGCTGCTGTATTAAATCATGTCAACTGCATACTTTTCGCTAATTCCTGTTTAAGTTAACGATTTTTGGACAACACCCTGCTAGATATGATTAGGAGACAATTAATATGTATGCTTGATATGTACATTTGAAAATCTGCTAAGACTGGAGAAATTTTTTTTCTGGAAGTGGCAGTCACAGCACAAACAGACCAATTTCTGCTGTACCAAATTGCATCAACTGCTACGATCTCGCTTGTTGCATTTTTGGCTGATTCATTTTTGAAAAATGCGCTACCAAACAAATTTAAATCGTGATATCCAAGTTTGAAAAATCGCCAAAAATTGAGGAAAATCACCAGCAAATCCACTCTGGCCTGACTAATAAGGCAAGCAATTCTCTATTAAATAGAGTCAACTTGACTAATTTGAGTAGAGATTGACAAATGTTGAAACGAAACCCGCGCCAAACATGAGATTATGAATTTCAAAAACGTTTCTAGCATTCCGAAAAATTTACGAAAAACTTGCAGGACGAACTGAATAAAGAAAAAGGCAGCCTGTAGCGAATTGCCATTCAAAATGGAGAATTTTTAAAGAAACTACTGTGCATAAAACTGTTATGTAAGATAAGGAAGGACCAACAGTCTTCAGCTTGAAGGCGGTTTCAACACATCAATCTTCCCATTTTGCATAAAATGGCTACACTTCTCTTTCGGGTTTTTGGGGAAAAATAATTACGGAAGAAACGCTTTGGTTGCTGCTGCGAAAAGCCCCAGTGGGGCCCAAACTCTGCGGCTACTAAACCATTTCATGGCAGCGACAATAATTGCACTTTGTTCTTGACTGACACGAAATCGTTTATTAACTCAACAGGTGTTTGGTTTTGGTTTGTTGAAACCCATTTGGTTGGGGCGATAAATCGGCAACCTGAACCGTACTACTTGAACGTTATCGTTGCGCAAATGAAATTGGCAATTTCGTGGTGAATTTTGCGCCCTTGTTCTCGCCATCAGGCACATAATGCCCCTTTGATACACACAACTGGTACTCATCGAGCCGAAATTTGCATCACAATAGCAGAGCTGGCGCTCAAAGATGCCCATTGTCTTCAGCAATGAACTTTTCGAGCTCAAGTGCTTGAAAATGTGGCGTTCCGACAGGCCAGGCCTGATTGAAGAGAGAAAATCCTGCGACTCAAAATAATTGATGATTAACCCATTGGCTACTCGATGGATGCCGCTTTATTGATTATAATCCACGTTCTCCGGCTTGTTAATGGGCTGTTTAGTCATTAATTAATGGAATCGGGCCCGGGGAATCTTCGGGCATTAGTCCCACTATTTACCAACAACCTCTAATCAGCCGGAATTAGTCTATTTATCCTCAACAAAACCGACGGAATTCAAAGTCATTTTTCTCGCAGCTCGGATGATTAATGGAGACGTTACTTCCAAGTGAAGATGGCTCTCATTGTCAAAGCTTGTCCATTGACTGCAGGCTCTAGCTAACGGTTCCATCCAAAAAATCGCCTCTTTGTTTAAGGATTTTCTTCGATTGGACTTTAGGAACTTTAGGAATCAAGTGCAGCTTTACTTTGATAACTTCTTCGCAAAATGCGGTTCAGCAACAAAAAACACACTCAAAATAAAAAAATGTGAGCAGAGAAATGAAGAAAATAAGTAGATAATGAATGCGTGCAGGACGAGACGATTTTTGCAATTACACGTGCCAAAGGCGGATGGCACCTAACTGAAACCTGAACACTCGAAATTGAAAATGTTGCCAACAATTGAAGAAAGCCGCTTGAAAATTGGCAAATGCAGGACGACAACGCGACCTTTCCTTTAAAACATGGCGTCAACTTGAGCGTTTTAATCTAACGCTTTCACCCGAAAAAATCATCTCTTTCTTAATCATTTTTTTCTACTTTTCGGCCTATCAGAACCCTAACTATGTAACATACAATGTCGAAATAGCGACAAAAACAACTCGAAGACGATACGCATTTTTACATCTGGTCCCATATTTCGATAGATTTGAGGGGAAAGGTTATCGGGATCGGGTTTTAGCAGATTCCAGTTCGCGTTTCTAGGCGAACAAGTTCCGAAAAATCAACGCCGGCTATGTTAACCAACACCGGAAGCTCAGACGAAGCTTGGCAGGCGATCAAGATCGCATCAGATCAAGCAGCAGGATGGCAGGTTTCAAATAACATCTGCATCTTGGACGGGAAAATTTCGGCAATTGTTCCCACGCAATCGGCAATAAATGATGATTTCAATCATGCAGAGCAGAAGGAAAGAATGAGGAGAATCGCCACAACACGAACTCGGCAGGAGTTCCAAAGCCAAAAGCCCATATTTCACTGTGTTTGCCGAAATTGGCAATTCTTTATACTTACACGCTTAGTTAGAGTCGTTATTCCATTAGAGGGCGATTAGAGGCGACCTACTGGCAACGCCCACTTTGAAAAATTATGTCATCTCGTTAACATGAGAATTGCTGGAATTTTGTTAATTTTCCGGCAAAACTCGATAGAAATCTGGGGCTTTTCAAAGTCGTTGGCAATTGAAGGATGTGCGAAGTAGAGCTGCATGGTGGGTGTTGGTTTAGGCCTAAACATGGCTTAGATGGGCAATTTGCTTCGTTTAAGCCTTTATTGGGTAAAGGTCGCCACTATTAAAGCCTGAAATAGTCTTGGAGATAATCGCCAATGGTGGGCGATCCCGATTAACAATCAGGAAATCATGAGTTTAATCGGGTTTTGGCATCGATTCTTTCTATTCCAATGACTGACTTAAGTCGGATGATGGCTCGCGGTCGAAAACAACTATTCGTTTGGCGATATTTGCATCAGAAAGAGCACAGTTTTGTCTGTAAGTGACATCACCAAGAATTTTACGGAAAAATTCGTTTTGGTCCAAGCGATTTTTTAAAAGATGTCGCGAAAAATTAGCGCAAACGGTCAAATATCAATAAATTTGACCCAAGCTGACCGAGATGGAAACTTGGTGATTTTTGCCAAAGGAAGGAAAATATCGGTGGTGTAAAGAAGCACAGCAAATCTCGTTTTTGGGCCTCATTCAGGGTTTTTTTAATTATGAACCCACAAGGTATGTGTAAATCAAGCTTGGAGGAGTGTCTAGCTGTACAAAAGACAATTATTTTACAGCAAACCCCTGGAAAAACAGACTAGCTATTTTTGCATGAGAAATGGAAATGGTTTAGTACGTTTTAAAAAAATCAGTTTCAGGACATTATTAAAATATTTAAAAAAAATTATAATAATTAGTTGACTGCGAACCAGCAGAGGTAGAAGTCTGCAGATTTTTGAGTAAAAATGGGAGATCTTCCTGAACCAACCTGGACATTTTTCGCCCATCATCAGAGACAGTAAAAAAATATTCTTAGGTGGGGTGACCGGTTTGAGGGCTTGTGGGACGACGAAAATTAATTGGCAGCAAACGAAAAAAGCTAAAGACTCGCCAGATTTCCAGTTAGAAATATTAGACGCCGTTCTATGTGGGTTGAAAATATCGCTTCATCGGGAATTTTTGAAAAGTTAACCAAACAAAGTGTTTGAAAAAGTTTCCTGTTTCAGGCCTGCTGGATCCATAATTGACAAAACCCGAGCGATTCATTACGCAAATCAATTCGGTTATCTGGTTTTTGAAAGCCTACACATCGGAACGCATTTATTGTTTCTTCATCTAACAGGAACCAATCCAGTTGGTATCAGTGCCAATCCCACGTTCAAGGTTAGCAGAATCGGATGGTGCGTGTGTAATTAATGTAATAATTTAGCCGAGTGGCTGCTGAAAGTCCCTAAAAGTCTTCGTCAATTAATAACGATTAGCGCGCATTGTTCCATTTGGAGAAAAAATGAAAAAATCATTCCCATTGATCACTTACCCTCCAGGCGATAATCCATTGGCGGATGACTGATGGTCTTGCTCGTCTCGAAAGTTTCTACTGTATCTCTTATTGTTGCTGTTGGGCTCGGCCACACTTAGGCTAATTAGATAAATTAGGATAAAACACGCAGTCCTAGCTCGCGGTCCGTTAGGGGGCATCTTTCCTCTGACCTATAAAACGGAAAAAATAAAGGTTAGTGAACCAGCATGTGGATGGTTTCGGTAAAATCAACAAAACAATTGCAAAAAGTTGCCGTTTAACTATCGATGACCCCAACTTGAGGACCCCCACAATTGCTAATGCGTATTAAATTGATTTGCCCCGCATATTATGTGGATAAACTGGATCTTTTGCCGTATCCCGGCGCTTCCTTCTAAGTGTCGTTAATTGAATAACTGCATGGCGTTAACAAATGTGCCACCAACAATTAATTGCTTAAGTAAATCATATGGGCATCAAGTGCCTTTTTCTCTTCCAGTGGGTGGTTGCGCGGGGAATCCGGCAAAAATAGGTAAAATCTCGAAGGCAAAAAATCACGATCGTATGCTCAATTGCATACCTAAGCACGGGATGGTGATGCAGGTCACGTTTGCGTTTTTTATTTTCAATTTTTTCGGAAATTTCGGCTTATCTCCCATTTTATCTCGAACAATGTCTTTCGAAACTGGGTCGTGTGAATTGCTGTGGGATGCCTATTTTTTACTGTCACGCGCTTTTAGGCTTCACCTAGTTCGGGCGCAAACATTCTCGGTAAATAGGCTGATCTGCAAATCTAGTTCAGCGATTATCTAATGCAAAGTGATGAGGAAAGTGAAAACTCAACATTGGAAATTTTTTTCCGAAAATCACGCAAGTGCGCCTTTGGCCTCTAAGCTTTGATCCAGGATTATTTTGTCTTTGAAAAAGGCCCGCACGATCTTTTTCGGAATCGGCCATGTTCTGAAATTTTTCAAAAATCACCCAGCCGCCAGCCTGAATTGAGTTTTGGGCTGGCAATAGGAAGCTTTCGCTTTAAAACTAGTGTCTAGAAGGTTTTCTAGCTGCTCTATTTTCATTGTGAAACATTATGGAAAATTTGCCTACAAAACCCCTTCGACTCAGGAAAAGTTGAAATTTGAAAATTCCTCAAAAATTTGCTAAATTAAATATGGATTTAATATTTTCTCTACATGTAGAAAAAAAAATCGCGCTTTTACATTAGCAGGCACAAATTCTTGTATTAAATCTAGTTTTGCTTTGAGGAGGTTTTAACCATGGGCCTGCCAAATCTGGCGAGTTTTACTGTAAAATTGCCAGAGATGCCTCATCAAACGGTAGCCCGAATTTGGTCTTGTCTATTTCTATTGAAAGGACTTTCCTCTTTGAGAGCAGCTTGTAGGAAATCTCCTAACTGATCTAATTCTCTGGTTAGAAGCCCTTGAGAGCAGGCCTGAAAGCCTGCCGAATTCTGGTCCAACCGATTTTTTTAAATTCACCAAAACTCATCAAAACAAGACAGAAGTTTGTTCTTTCCTCATCTACAGAGACGACTTTACAGGTTAAAACTTGAATATTGGAAATCCTCTAACTGGACTAGTGTTATTCGGGAATCGAGAAAGGAAACCTGCCGTACATAACGACCGTAGTAATAAACCCGTGAAATAAAAGTTTGAAAATTCGGCTAAACTTTTTCTGTTCTCTCTCTCTGAACTCTCTGAAAAATGTTCTCTTCATCGGGAGCGCATATTTTTGTCTTTAGAACCAGCAGATCAAGGGCGTCCTAACTGGCCTAGTTCTTATGCTAGACACTTTTGAAAATTTGCCCAAAAAACCCGCTCAACTGAGATCAAGAGATTCAGTGATATTGAAATGTGAACATTCGTTCAACTGAAGAACCAATTGATTTTGTGAAACCTGCAGAAATAAAAATTTCCTGAAAACAATCCGGAGACTTCGAAGCAGCTTCCGAACTGCTCCAGTTCGTCAGGTGCAGTTGGCACGGAAAACTTTAAAAAAATTGTCAAAAATCAGCCAAATTCATAGGAAATTCAAAAAAAGATGCACAAATAAAGCAAATACCCTTTTTGGAAGCCTGCTGGCGAAAAATGCTATAACTGGCCAGAATTTCGCTTAGCGAGAGCTTGAACACGACACTTATAAAAGTGCGCTCTTTTTGCTCCCGCTTAAGCTGCAAGAGCCAAATTGCGTTTTGGATTCCCAAAAAATTCATCTTAAAGGCACGATTTGGCGTGAATGTCTTTTGGGCTGATTCCCACCAGAAGCGCCGCAAAAAAATTAAAACTTACCAGTTTCTTCGGCGGCTGAGCGCGTTGGAAATGCACGCGCAAAAAAGTTATCTCACTTCAGCACGGCATGTTCTTCCGCAAGATAAGGACGAAAAAGGCGCGTGGGTGACGACAAACTCAAATATATCACACGCATCCAAAATAATAATAATAATAATAAACTGAGAGAAAACTTAGCGATCGGAGTCGTCAAGCCAAAGGCAACGTTCAGACTGGTCCAAACGCGACTCCTGAAACAAAACGGCTGATCTGATATCACAGCAGCCTTCACAGTTCTCTCATCTCATACAGTTCGGACTTTGCGGGACTTTGTTAATTCGACAGCGCATGTTTGGTCATCTCTACATCGGGCTCTTGATTAGGATTATGTACCTAAGTAGAAACTTATTGGCGTATTGGCGCACTTTCTAATTAGGCCGCTCATCACCTAACCTTTCGACAATCTCCTTCTTAATAGAAAACTTAGTAATACATATTAATGTGCTTTTTTTAATTTTTATCCAGTTAATCCAGTTTTGCAGAATCTAAAGAAAATATGCTTTAATTTGCAATTGCCAGACTAATAGAGCTTTTCAAAGTTCCACTGCCTAATTTTCTCGGGGTCTCCAAGTTAAAAAAATTAAATTTGCTGTGGAAAATGTACTGGACTTTGGGCTGAATGCGTGGAATAAGTGGCTACTAATTTAAAGCCGCTTAGAATTAGAGTTTTCGCTACCAAAGTGTATTCAAAATTGAACGGGTTATTTCGGAAAATCCTGCACCTAAATATCAGCAATTCAAATTTGCTTCTCGCGTGGAAAGTATCCGAAGTTCCTCACGCCCGTTCCACTGATTGAATTGGGTTCTCTATTCTCTATCCAATGATAGGAAACCGGCTTTTTGAGAAAAAAACAATAAAAAAACACGCAAAACTGACAGATTTTTTAAACTGATGTCTTTTTGTGGAAACTTCTATTCTTCTTCTTCTAGCGACGCTTTGATGGCTCAATCCAGGGGTGTAGAAATGAGCACTCTAGCTCAATCTGTTCCTGAGAAATGAGCAAACTGGTAGAATGGCGAAGGAAATGCAAAAGCCCGAGACAGTTTGTGGCATCTGTTGAAGCTTTCTGTTATCAGCGTGCGTAAAGTCGGGATTATTGACGCCACTACAAGTGACGATTGCTTGAAAATTGCACTCAATAAAAACTCAAAAGGTGGCTAAAATTTCGTTTCAAATCACACCTCCTCCATACAGGCTAGAATCTTGAAAAATTAAATGTGGCTGAGTGTTTAATAGAATTCACATTGAATAACACTCAGGCATTTTGCTGTACTTCCACTCATGGATTAATTGAAATAAGTGGGATTTTGTGCAAATCTGAGTCTTCCAAATGTTGACAATCAAACCTGATAGCATTGTGAATGCGCCGGAACCAGGTTGAAATTTCTTGACAATTTAATGCAGAATATACAAAATCAATCAACATCGAAGTTCAGCATCGTTCCCTGCCTGTAATTCCAATTCTGACCAATAAAGGACACCACGAGGACTGAACAGTTCTCTGCCATTAAGAGTTTGCAGGTCTGGATCAACCCAAAGCCCGGCCTCAGTAATTCACTGGCGGTATTAGGATGAGGACCAACTGGATTAAGCAGGCTGGCTGTTAATTCGGGCAATTGAGGGGAAACCTTCAGAGCTGGCTAAGCCCCAGGAATTTGCCTTAATTACTATTGTGTTTAGATGTATGCGGAGATCCACATGGCCTGGATAATCCGCAATTTGCCCTGTTTCATTAGTTTAACTGCAAGCAGTGGAAAGTAAGTGAGTAAATCACTGTGGGCTTTTTGTAAATGGGACGCTTAATAACACGTCAAACAATTAGAAGAGATAACACGCTCCCGATGCTCTTTGCCGGCCGGGATTAAATCTCCTGGACTTCCCACAGCTATTGCCGCTTTTCCGATAAGCCCCGAAATTAGTGGATTCCACCACCCCCTAATGCGAGCTGGTGCTGGACTATAAAGGTCTCAATTTCGCTGCATCTCCGGCTGCTCCTCTCGGAAAGAAGTTGAGGGCCCTTAACCCGACACGTGCCCTTACCGGCCCCCCAAATCCGAATTAAAACTGTATAAACACGGGGTTAAAGGGCCAAATTGCCGCCAGCTAAACATACAGCTTACACGCCAATCTCCATTTTCTTCCCCATTTGTGGGGTGCATTTTCCAACATCGCACGATCCCTGGTTCAAACATTTGTTGTTCTATTCGAACTCCCCATTGCCATTAGATTAAGTTGGTGCCTCGAGCGGCCCCCAAATAGTCGGTAAAATATTAAGACGAGCCAAGTTTGATGCCGCTCTAACTGGTTAATCGCCTTATATTAGTTGAAGCCCTCGGGTATTTGCCTAAATAGCGGTTCGATGTTGCTCCAGAGTCTTCGACTCGAATCGGGCGCATTGATGATTTATTAGGCCCCCAATGGCTTGATTGACTCGAGCTGAAAGCAGGCGAAACGTTGTAATGTTAATGGCACCAAAGCCCACACATGCAAAGCAGGTTTATCGGCCGGCGCAAATAAAAACAAACTTCAATTATATAAAATAATTATACGTTTCGAGAGGAGCGGCTCGCTGTTTTATTTAATCTCCGCGTATGTTTCGATCCGGACTGATAAGGCCGCCTGGACGGGGCTCTGTGTAGATAAATCAAACCACTGTATACTTAAGTTAATACGTTCAGATGAAAAGGTTGCTGCAGCATTTGTTTCAAATGAAAAATAAATTTTCCATTTGGCCCGCTAAAGGTCATTAACAGCTCAATTCCGAGTTGGTTGCAACCCATTTACATACAATGGACGCCCTCCTTGAATAGCTTAGCAATGATATGGATAATTATTGTTTTTGGCAATTGAATCAACAAGACGATTGTTTGGGAGGGGCTGATATTTCCAGTGTTGTCTCGTTTCGTCACTAGCTACTCAAAATGATGAAGAGTTCAGGATTGAATTGAAAATCTAAAGAATAATTCATCCAGAATGCCATACTTGTGCACAAAGGGGTTTTTCTAAGAGGTCCACTCGCCTAAATTGTGTAGGGTTTCAACTAGCTCAAGCCTTTGAAGCTGGAGGAACACTGCGGATTGAAATGTCATTTTTCGGAAAGTTTCCCAGAGTTGGTGTTTCTTTCCTTTTTCAGATTTTTTCTGCTGAAATTGCAAGTTGCAAAGTTTTTCATTTTTTCCAGCAGATTTGATATTTCGTGGCACTTTTGGAAAGTTTCTGGATCTAAATGGAATGCGTGGATTTGAGCACAATTTCCCCTGAAAGTTGCCAGTACAGTCAGCTGCACCTGCTGAAACTTTCAACCAGTTCATCCTGTCTGAACATATGGGAAAGATTTCGGTTCCAATGCGGAGCATAAAGTCCCTCAACATTCCGAACTCCTGACCACAAAGTCGCATAACCCGCTCGACAAATGTCAGCGCGCAATCAACGAATTTATGGGCTAATCGCATTAAAAAGTCTTTGAACTTCATGCCGGATGGGCATTTTAATTAAAACTAACGAAAGTGCCAATTGGACCGATACCTTTGAGGATTTAAACCGGACGCAATGATAAATTTATTTGGCGATTAATTAAAAGCCCATTTTCCGTTGATTTGCCGCAATGATTGCGATGTCAAATAAATAATAACCAATCAAAGCCAGCAATAATTCGCATTTGAGGCTGGATGTACTTTTTGTGCACAAGTTGGCGTCCTCAATTGCGTATTCCGGACGCGTTCGCCTTTTGTGCCGGCTCTGGTTTCTCCGCTTTTTCTGCCAAAGTTTCCTCACATTTATCTATCTATTGACACAAGATACGTCGCTTTTTTTCAATACTCCGACATGCGATATTCGGTTGTTTGTCACACAACAAACAAACGCCACAAAGGGGCGCAGTGCTTCTCGTTTCGATACTCGTTATTATTTATGTGCCTGGCTGGAAAGTCTGCAGAACTTCATTAGTCCACCTTGTTCTTTCCCAATTGATTTAATGGAAAGGACAGCCTGTGGGCTTAGTCTTGATTGGTCAATAGGGAATTCGGCTTCTAAAGGTCAACCATTTAATTTTCCATTAAGAAGCATTATTTATTTAAGACCTTAGATGTAAAGGGAGTGTAATTGGATTTTGCTTAGCGGATCAATTAAAGGAATTGATATTGATTTTTTCCAAGGCTTCTTCTTCAGTTCATGTGAGTCTTTGATTTTGAAGGCTTTTCGATATTATCTTGATGGTTCATGTTGTATCTGAATCAGTCACCCAAATGAAGAAAACAGGAGCAAAAGACCGGGTTCTGAGACTTTTAAATCCTGGGGATTTTCAGGACTTTCAAGGCGGTTTAATTCCGTGGTAATAATTTGGCTCGAAGTGACTTCGAATTTAATCGGCCGACGATCTAAGACATGATTTTGTCCACCGTTGCTCACCCTGGGCGACGCCAAGAAATAGTTCTTGGCGCTAATTTATATTTTAATTAGCGCTGCAACGTGCCTGCGAATGTTTCAGTCTCTTGCTCTAATTGGCCCTTTCATCTATGTAAATGTGGGGGGCCGATGCCCCCCTAAATCCTCTCAAGTTGTAGTAGAAACTGTCCAACATACACCCGGTGATTGAAAAAAGAAATACTTTTTCATAAGTGGACCTTTAACAAATGCGCCCGTATTGTTTCAGCAGCTGTTTGGGTGGAAGCGTAATAAATCATTTTTTATTCGCAATTAAATCTTCAAGTGTATGTTTGTCTATACACGCAGCGAGGCAGCAACAAATGAACCATTTGTACGGAATGACAAATTGCCGGGAACGCGTCCATTTTTGTAACCGTCGCTCGACGATTATTATTAATACGATTTTGTAATTAGTTTTCGGGTTGGCTGTGGAACGAAATGCTGCGAGTGGAATCGGGCCGAAAGAGTGTCCACGGACTATTGACCGGGCGACATTGCGAATTGTGTTTGCTGAAATCCTGCCGGATTACCCCGAGTCGTTTTTCCTTTAGAGGGAGATTTTTCATTGTCAATCGAATTTCCCGGGTAATACGTTTTGTGGGCAAAGCCCCGCGCCGAGTGCAAATCCTACAGGAACATCATATCTTACAGGGGAAACGAAATTTCCATCATTTTCACGACGCGAATGCATTAGGAGGTTGTTTTGCTCGCGCCCGAAAAAATGGATTACATTGTCGCGTGAAGGCATGCGAACGACAACCACTGTTCGCTCTCTTTTTCCTCCCCCCGTGGAG